AGAACAGCTTTATGTAGTTACAGTACTGACAGACGTCCGGTTTACTTTAAAAACTAAGCTTAATTTTATGTCAGACTTGGCCTTGGTTTTCCTGAGCTTTCCCTTTAGTTTTGCTGCAGCAGATTTGGGCTGTCAGATCACAAAATACCCATAAATCCTTACTGTTTTGTTGTCGTTATCCTCCCGTCTTGACCTTTATTTTTTAGGGCCCGAGATGGTGTAAAGGTAGAGCGGTCGACTTGGGACCAAAAAGTAGGTTCAACTCCTCACCATGTCCACATGTTGTGGTGTCGCTGAGCAAGACACCCAATCCCTAATTGATCCCCGGACGTAGTTACTCACTGCTCCATGGATGTGTCTCATGTGTGATGGGTTAAATGCAGAGAACTAATTTTGCCATTGTATGAGAACATACAATGACAACACATAGCACTTGTACTATCAAAAATATACCTTTTATCTGAGTTGGAATAGAGTGACAGTTCACATCCACCGGTTTTGTGCACCAGTGTCTAACTTTAAACGTAAACTGATGTAGCAAAGTTTCACATCATGTCACATCTAAAGTTTTTATGTGTTCAGACATTAAATGTTGCATTAAAATTAAGAGCAGCTCTGCGTTTAAAAAAAAAAAACAACCTTTAAGTTAATGTGCACAGACTCAGTTTTGTAATTTGTATGTATTAAAATAATCAGATAATTAAGGACAGTGGGACACCAAAAGCAGCCCAAGCCCTGAGGCCCTCACCCTCTTTAATCCGGCCCTGCAGGCATTAATAACTTTGCTTAATATTTTATTTTATTTACCTGGTCCAAACCTTTGTGTTTGTTTCCTTTGTTGTCCTGTTATCCCCAGTCAGTTGAGGTGGATGGCGGCTCACACTGGTTCTGGTTCTGCTGGAGGTTTGTCCATGTTTAAAGGGAACCATTCCTCTCCACTGTCAACCATCACCTCATGCTTTGATGGGGGATTGCATCAAAGTGAAGGTTCAATTAAAGCCGCTGTTTTTTTTTTTTGTTTTTTTTTATTGAACTGAACTTGTTTCTGTATAACACCCTGACATTTTATAATCAGTGATTTGGTGTTTTAAAATAAACTAAACTGAATGAAATGAAATGGAAAATGTAAGCACACTGAGCAAGGTGCATTAAAAGTCACAGAGAAACGGAAAGTAGTCATAGTAAAACCTGTTTGTCACACTTTTTTCATCCAAAACTGAAGCTCATGTTGCATGATGAGGGTAAAAAAAAAGGAAGAACAGCCAAAAAGGAAATGTTAGGAAACTAATGCAATGAAAAGAATAAATATGTTCTTTAATTTATTGTTTGAACGGGTGCCATTGTTTTTTAAGTACAGCAAGAAAGAAGAAAATCCTGCAGATTGTTTGGATTAAGTAAAAAAATCCAAGCAGCTTTTATTTGCTTCAGTATCTGAGCTTCATTAAATCACAACATGTGTAGTTTGTTTCCGTCTTCTTTCTATCGTGGTCCAACCCATCATAAAACAAGTGAAGAAAATCACTGATTTGGCTTTTGTTTGCTAATATCCTTCCTGTCCAATTCATTTGTTTCTTTCCTAATAGTTTCCTTCCCTCCATCAGTAAGTGTTGCCATATAAAAATGCAATCAATCACAGATTTCAGTAAAATTTAGTTTGCATGCCGTTCTCTCCTCAACGATGCTGAAAACCACCATTAAAGCTGGAAGTCTTCTATTAGCACGCCCTTTAATTATCCCTCAGTTTCTGTTTATTTTCAGTGAGTCTGTAAGTTGTTTCCTGCTCTGAAGGCAGGAGTCAGAGTTTCAGATGCACTGTTTGTCCGTTTGTCTGTTTGGGCACCTCAGAGACAACACACACACGTGTGTGTTCGATGAAAAGACATGCTCCGTGTTTAGTCTCGCTGCTCGGGAGGATTTTGATTTGGCTCCATGTCCAGAGCCAGCGGCCCCTCTGCAGCAGATCCAGACCATCAGGGCAGAATCACTTCCTCCTGCTGTGGATCGTCTGCTGCAGCTCCTGATGCTCCAACATCCGATCTGATCGAGGCCACGTGGCTTCGTCTGTTCACGACGCTGATCTGCCTCCTTTTCTTTGTTCTTGATGTGAGCATGTTTAACTTCAGCCAGATAGGACATCTCCTGCCTCTTTCTGCACATTCTCCTCTGAGTCTTTGCTGTGCCAATAAAAGCATGTTTAAAAACATTTTGACCCTTTAGAATAATCCGTAGATTTTCTGTTTCGGTACAAATAAAACCTTTTCTTCACTGCTTCAAGATGTGGATTTGTCCAGGTCCTCCGTTGTTTTTTTTCCAGCAAGTTGGATTTTTATTCCATAAAAAGGTGAGTCTGAATGAGGTTTTAATTAATTTGACATTCTCTTCTTCAAACCACCACCATGATGAGTTTCTGCAGTTATTGTTTATGTTCATTAACTTAATGTTGGATCATTATCACCAAAGGTAATCGCCACGTGATTGTCGATATGTGCTGCTGATAGCCCATGCTGCTGATTTGTTTCATGCTGCTGTCTTCATTCGTACTCATCTGCTCACACAGACTCGTGTTCGTGCTGCTGTTCGACGTATTGTTTTTATACCAAAAGCGTTTAGCGTATTTCTTAGTTCATATCTTAGATCTTACCGTTTTCTTTTACAATTTATACTTTTGTTGGATGTAACTGGGACCCTGTGTACACAGTTTTGTTCCACCTCATGTACCACATGTGATGTGAATGATAAACATTTGAACTTGAACCGTGATGTTTATGCTCTTCTGAGTGTTCCTTTGAACAATTTGAATAAAACTAAGTAAAACACTGGATTAAGATTTACAACGGATTCATTGTCGGAGTCAGCTCCATTCAAGATGGCTGCCACTGCTAAGCCAAATCTTAGCAAATGCAAAAAATAGCTAAATTTCACTAAATTTGACAAATACCGAGTTAAAATTTGGTGCATTAGTAGCTGAGATTCATCCCCAACATGTCGTCCAAACACTAACTTATTGCACAAGCTCTGTTGTTAAAACTGTCAGTAGCTTCTGGAGTCAGATGTGTATGTTAGCAAAATATCTCCAGAACCAATCAACGGATTTACTAAGGATGTAATCACTGCACGTACCCATTAATGTTTGGAGTCAACCAGATTGCAAATGGCCACCACAGCTAACCTTAGCCTGCACAGAAATGTTTGTAGCTCGATCACTTAAAAAAAAAATACTGGGCTAAAAGATGTTGTGGTAGTAGCTGAGAGTCATCGTTAACACATACTCGGAGCCCTATCACATTTTGCAAACTCTTACATTTCTGCATGAGATAAGGGGTTATATTTAAAAAGTTTGATCAAAACAGCTAAGACTTCTCAGCTTCGGATGATTTTAGTTTCAGTTTTTGCCACGAAATGCTAAAAGCTAAACCTTTAGCACGAATGCTATAAACAAAAACATTTGCATCTAAAACAAAGACCTCTAACAGTAGAAAATAATTTAAACATCATTTACATATTATTATCTTCGTTATTACAAACTCTTTTAATTTGTTTCAGATTAAAAATAATTAATAAAAAAGTTTTTACTGACACATTGTGACAAAACTCAAACGGATTTTTCACCAACATCTTGACATCATCTCAGTATTTAACACCACTTCCCTCCTGCTGCACTTAGGTGGCAATTTAAAATCTTAAGGATTATTTTAAGGGTTTCTGGCCTTCCTTCCACATTTCCGACCTCTCGGAATAGAAAATAAACTTTCTGTCACTGGAATCCTTCAGACAAATGCTCTCAGGAAGCGTTTTGCTTCAGTTAATGGAGCTCGTAAATTTTACCAGAAGACTTTCTCTGAAATCATGAAGTGAGTACTAGTAAACACAAACTTCTGACCCTGTTTCCCCACAAAACTTTTTATTGAGGTCTCTGTGTGTGTAAGTGTGTGTGTGTGTGTGTGGGGGGGGGGGGGGGGTGCTCATTTGTCTGCATCTATTGCAAAATAGCTCAGGCTCCAGTTGACACTGTCAGAACGTAATCACTGGATGAGCATCTACAACCGATTAATTATTCAAGATGGCTGCCTCAGCTAAAAAAAAAAACAAACAAACATAGGAAACCCCAAAATGATGCCAGCTCAAGGAGTTCAGCAGGTGTTGAGCTCAGATTTGGTGTGGTAGTAGCTGAGACCGACTCCCAACAAACGCTTTAAGCTCGAACTGATTGAAAGAAACTTGTCACCAACAATTAGAGTTCACACTCTTTGTCTGTTAGCAAAATATTCCAAGAAACACTGGACGGATTTTATTTTTAGAAGCTTTCAGAAAACAATAACTTTAAGTAATAAGTTTTAACCTAATTCAAGATGGCCACCATAACTAATCTAGCTTAACCTGCACAAAAATGGCTATACCTCAGTAAATTTGACAGCGAGCTCAAATTTGGCATGGTAGTAGCTGACAGTCATTCACAACACATACTCCAAGCATGAGCAGATCATGAGGGATATTGCAAATTGTAAGAGCGTGCATGTGATGGTATTTCCAGGGTTGGATCAGAAGAGCTATAACTGTCACTGCTCATTTTAATATTATTGGGATAAAACGCTGGAACGAAAGATGTTGGGCGATATGCATCCCTTCAAGGAACGCTGGGCTTTTAATTTGTTATTTGTTGTTCTTTTAGAAAGAGTTCAAAGACGAGCAACGCCACCGCTGCTCCGTAAAGGTCTTAAAAGTGACCCCTTATTGTGACAGCTAAATAATCTCATACTAAAATGGGTCCAAAGATCCTGGCAGGTCTTTACTCTGCAACACGTTGATGGTGGGTCTGCTGGTGCTCATGATTCAGACGAGACTGAGTTCTGCACCGCGTTGGATCCAGAGGACCTCCTGAGGTGGAGGCTGAGGAGCCGTCCTACAGTTTGGAGATTATCAGGAAGTTGTTTCAGCTGAAGAACAAGCAGTGAGAGCTGAAGGCTTGATGTCAGAAGTCGAGCCTTAGAGACGGACGGGTATTAGAAGTCGTACGGTCGGACCATCATGGAGGTGGAGTGCAGGGAGTAGCTGGGGCCTCTGAAGTGGTGCCACTTGATGCCGTTGAGCTTCCTGATGTTGTGGCCGACTGGGTAGTAGATCCCGTTCAGGTTGGAGAAACCGCAGGCGTCAAACCACCAACCTGGACGAAGAAAAATAAGAAACCGGGATAAAGAAGACATAAAACAGGAGAACTTAATTGTAACCACTAATTGGGGACCACCCTGGTCTAATGAACACTTAAGAGCAATTTGTTGCAATTTAGAGTAATTCGTATTTGGCAGAACCGAAGCGTTTTATGCCTCATCTTTCAAAGTTCAAATGTCCAAAGAGAAGATGAAATCCTGGACTTTACTCTGACGTTTGTTGTCGTTTCATTATCGTTTGTCTCCAAAGCCAGTGGCAGAGTGGTGATGTCTTTGATGGGGTCTGTGTGCGTTCATTTGTCTGTGTCGCAAAATATTTCATGAACTAGCAAACACGTTTGAACAAAACTCTCGGAAAGTAAAACCCTACAGCTGATTAAGTTTTGGAGTAATGCCCATTCAAGATGGCCGCCACAGCCAATCCTCTTTGCCTAACACAACTATGGTTACATTAGACATTTTCACTGGCACTGAGCTAAAAGTCGATGTGGCAGTAGCTGAGACTTATCCCCAGCACACGCTCTAAACACTGGAAGGGTTTAAAGAAAACTTTCATAAAGTAATTGTTGGATTAAATTAAACTTTTAAAGAAAAAAGGAAAAGGGTGGATTGCTCTCTTCAGGTCGAGGGTGAGGTTCTGCCTCAAGTGGAGGAGTTCAAGTATCTTGGGGTTTTGCTTACGAGCGAGGGAAGAATGGAGCGTGAGACTGACAGACGGATTGGTGCAGCGCCAGCAGTATTGCAGACTCTGTGCCGGTCCGTTGTGGTGAAGAGAAAGCTGAGCTGTAAGACAAAGCTCTCCGTTTACTGGTCAGTCTACGTTCCTACCCTCACCTATGGTCATGAGCTCTGGGTAGTGACCAAAAGAATGAGAATGTGGATACAGGAGGTTGAAACAAGTTTCCTCCACAGGGTAGCTGGACTCTCCCTTAGAGATAGGGTGAGAAGTTCAGTTATCAGGAGAGACTCGGAGTAGAATCGCTGCTCCTCCACATCAAATGGAGCCAGTTGAGGTGGTTTGGGCATCTGGTAAGGATGGACCCTGGGCGCCTCCCTAGGGAGGTGCTTCAGGCATGTCCAACTGGGGGGAGACTGCGAGGAAGACCCAGGACATGCTGGAGAGACTAAAAGTCTCTTTTTGGCCTGGGAAGGCCTTGGGGCTCCTCCCAGAAGAGCTGGAAGAGGTGGCTGTAGAAAGAGATGTTTGGACCTCCCTGCTCAAGCTGCTGCCCCCAAGACCTGACTAAGGAACAAGAGGAAGATGATGGATGGATGGATTAAAGCTTGGAGTCAATTAAAGATGACCACTACAGCCGGCTGACCTCAGAAAACAGAAGAATGAATATAATTCAGCCCATTTGACAAATATTGACCTAAAACATCTTGTGGTTGTAGTGAGCACTGAGTAAAATACGTCTAACACGCCTCATGGGATCACACATCGTTCACTAACTTTGCACTAAGTAGCGATATATTGATTTATTTCGTCATGAGATCATTTTCATTTAAAACTCTGACATGAAAGGTGATGTGCGATATGCGTTCTTACAAGGAACACTTGGACTTTAAGCTGTTCGGTCAAATAAATACAGTAAGTATGTTTTCTATTAATTGTTAAAGTTCAGTCTACTAAGACTTTTAAAAGATAAAATAAAAACTGCTTATTTGTTGTAAAAAAAAAAACAGGTAATAAAAATCGGTGACGCATGACCTCATGAAACTACCCTGCTTCTGGTTTTACCTGCGCAAAACTCTTAATATGTAATAAATGGCTTCCATGATCACAAAACACGGCTTATGAAAAACAGAATCATAGTTTGTTTAAAAACTTGTTCATTTGACCTTTGATTTTTAAACAGAAAACAGCCTTTTTCTGTAAAACTTGTTGAAATGGAAGAGGAGAAAAAACTACTCGTTTCACGTCGTGACATCTGGCGCTTGTTTATACATTCTTAAAATGTGCAATAATGTTATGTCTACCCCTGCAAACAATTATAAATCTACACAAACACCACAAATAGTTTAATGGCGACTTATAAAAATAGGTCAAACGTGGACGGAGGGATTCAGAGGGAGCCGTAACTTCACGACACGTGTCTGAAACACAAATTTCTAAACAATTTTCTGATTGAAGCTCATTATTTTCAAATTTGGGTCCAATTTTCATTGTTAGGCTTGATTTTATTTGTGCCTTTAGGGGAAAAGTAAAAAAAAAGTTTGTATTTATCTTTTTTATTCATTTCTTTCACTCACTCCTTTTATTTTATTACCGTGACTTTGTCCGTAACCTGCCGTGATTTAAATGACTCGCTGACTAATGGTCACCACTGGAGTCTGTTCCTTTGAGATCTGGAGGGTTTTGTCCAAACGATTACGTTAATCTGCGATTAGAAGCTATGGAGGGGCGGCTGAGGAGAACCGAGGAGCTGTTTGTGTTGGCACCGGCTCAAGGTAAAAGAGCACCGAAGGGTGACGGAGACAGATGTTTGACAGACCACAGCTTTGAGGGAAATACCTCTTAATTCTGTCCTTAAAAATATTTATTCTAAAAAGTATTTTTATATGTACACTGATATATGACAGGGAGATACAGTCTGATGAGAGTTTAATGAACTTATTAGATAAATTTCACTGTTATCATTCTGGTTCCACCAAAAAATCCCATTTAAATCTTCTATTTGGCTCTTAAACTTGTTATTTTTTTTATGTCAGGAATAGATACATAGAGAGATACTTTATTAATCCCAGGGGGAAATTTGAGGCATCCAGTAACATGTTCTAATTATACATAAAAAACACATGAAATAATTCATAAAAGAAGCAGAATACACAAATTTGGAAAAAGACAATATGCACATGCACAAGGTGGTAGGTGCAACCAAAGTGTTGAATGGATCCGTTTTGGTGGCCTTAGGATTGCGTCTTTGCTTTTTGCAGACGATGTGGTCCTGTTGGCTTCATCCGATCGTGATCTACAGCTTTCGCTGGAGCGGTTCGTAGCCGAGTGCGACACGGCCGGAATGAAGATCAGTTCCTCCAAATCCGAGGCCATGGTCTTGAGCCTGAAAAAGGTAGAGTGCCCTCTCCAGGTCAGAGAGGAGGTCCTACCCCAAGTGGAGGAGTTCAAGTATCTTGGGGTTTTGTTCACGAATGAGGGAAAAATGGAGCGTGAGATCGATAGGCGGATAGGTGCAGCGTCTGCAGTGAAGCGGGCGCTGTACAGGTCTGTCGAGGTGAAGAGAGAGCTGAGTCAAAAGGCGAAGCTCTCAATTTACCGATCGATCTACATTCCATACCCTCATCTATGGTCATGAGCTTTGGGTTGTGACCGAAAGAATGAGATCTCGGATACAAGCGGCCGAAATGGGTTTCCTCCACAGGGTGTCTGGGTTCTCCCTTAGAGACAGGGTGAGAAGCTCGATCATCCAGGAGGGACTCAGAGTAGAGCCGCTGCTTCTCCACGTCGAGAGGAGCCAGTTGAGGTGGCTCGGGCATCTGGTTATGATGCCTCCTGGACACTTCCCTGGTGAGGTGTTCCGGACACGTCCCACCGGGAGGAGGCCCAGAGGAAGACCCAGGACACGTTGGAGGGACTATGTTTCTTGGCTGGCCTGGGAATGCCTCAGGATTCCCCCGGAGGAACTGACCCAAGTGGCTGGGGAGAGGGAAGCCTGGGCCTCCCTACTAGGCTGCTACCTCCCGTGACCCGACCCCAGATAAGTGGAAGAAAATGGATGGATGGACAAGGGGAGCCTGCAGCTGCTAAACTGGCCAAGAAGGTGGTGAAGAAAGCCCACGCTAAAGCCAAAAAACCCACTGATAAGAAGCCAAAGGTAGTCAAGAAGTCCCCCAAGAGCTGTACCAGCTGACACATTAACATCTTATCAGGACTATGGTGATATCTGGAAGTGCTTCATGAACAAATCTCACCTTCTTGTCATCAAATGCATAATGTGTCTATAAATGTGCTTGCTGGTAGAGTTTTGATTTCTTAAATAGTATCCTGACAAGGACAAGGTGTGAAGAGATCTTTTTTTTAATACCACTATCCTCATGGCCTTTCCCCTTTTCAATCTAAAGAATATGGGGCCGCGCACCGCCCAACTTTCAGACGACTGTACAGAATATAATCTCGCTGTACTTCGGTGCCATGATAATAAAGCTTATTCTGATCCTGATTCTGATTCAGAAGGCACCGGTAAAGAAGGCGGTAGAAGAACAAGAAGCCCACAGTCCAACAGACTGGCACCAAAAAAACCTGAAGCCAAGAAGGCAAAGTAGTAACGGCTGCAGGATCCTGCTTTCTTTGCACGCACTCCCTACAGGAATGTAAAAGTAGATGTTTCCCTCACCTCCAGTGAGCATCAGGGCACACTTGCAGTGATCGCAGTTGTCGTTGTCGTGATCTCGGGTGCTGAAGCCGGCTCCGTGTGTGATCAGGCTGCTCTGCCTGCCGGCCGTACCGCTGTAGCCTCTCAGATACAACCTGAGTGAAAGAAGATGAGACGATGGATCTAATCTGTTGCAACAAGTGCACCGTTTATTTTTTTATTTTTTTCAGACACGTATAAGAGTTCAAATGTCAGTGATGGAAACGTGTTGATGAGCTAATTTACTGCCCAAAGACCACAGAAAATAAAAATCACTGGATACATTTAAATGAAAACTGCAGGAAATATTAAATTAATGTACGTCTTTAACTGATTACATTTATGAGTCAGTCCAATTCAAGATGGCTGCTGCAGCCACCTGACTTTAAAAACACAAAAAAATTGTTATAGTTAGTCAATTTTATAGATATTGAGCTAAAATGTGCTGTGGAAGTAGCTGAGAGTCAGTCAAAACACATAGTCCAAGTACCACTCATTATGTAAGATCTTTGATTAAAACTTTAGCAATGACTCTTGCAGTCAACCCTGTTTGTCTGTTAGCAAAATATCCAATAAACCACTGAACAGATTTTAATGAAACTTTCAGAGAATATTCATTGGCTCTACATTTACAACTGATTTAAAATTTACTTTTTCCACATAATTTAAAATCGTCTTATCATGGACAGCATGTTTAAAGCATTTTAACCTATAGAAATTGTTTTTCTTTCTTTTTTTTTGGGGGGGGGGGGGTGAAAATGCAGAACATGCAGATAGCTGCTGTAAAACTTTGCTGTTGAAGTTGAAAATGAGTGACGTTCAGATGAGTTTAATGGCTGACAAATAACATAATAATGACAATAAATATAATAAGTGACAAAAGGAAACAAAAAAAGAAACAAAGAGTAGAACAAGACAATAAGGACACAAGAAAATGAAATGTAGCATTATGAAACAAAAGGTGCAAAAAGGAGAAGAAGGTGGATAAAAAGTCAGTTGGAACACAAAATGGAAAAAACTCATTAAAATTGAAAATTTTGAGGCAACGAGTTTGCATAATTTTTTTAATAAAGTCCACCTGTTGTGTCTTACAGTGGAAAAGGATGCATAAATAACAAAAATGATGGTTATGGAGTCAAAAAAGATGCAGAGAGACACCAAAAACACACAATGAAACAAAAACAGTGAAAGAAAAAGACAAAGAGGACGAGATGGAGACCCAAAAAGGGGTAAATTATAATTATAATTTAATGGTAAACTTATAAAGTAAGTTTTTTTTTTAAAGATTTGAACAGAATCTGATTTCAGTTCGAAAAATTGTGAAAATAAAGAAATGAGCTTAAGTTTAAATATTACAAAAGACAAAATTTACTGCCAAAATGTCTTGAATAAACTAAACATTAACTAATTAACTAATCTGTGTTTGCACATTAAGCTTTGATCTGTATGATATAAAGTAAATGTGTATCTGCAGGTATATTAATGTATGTGCATGTATACAGTACGTTGCAAGTATCAATGCATGTATGGGTATTTATAGTGAATTCAGAATCTGTATGTAAAGTTAGGGACAGGACTGGATAAGCCGTTGCATCTTCCTGCTCCCTTTGAGCATATTTTTGTTTTGTTTACAGAATATTTTGGTGGAAATATTTCCTTTTTATTCACGTTTTTTGTCTTGTTTTGTTGAAATTTAAACATTTTGATGCATGAATGGTTTAAACACATGGATATAAAAAAACATGCAGAGGAAAATCTAAACAGGAAAACAGTGAGAATGCTGATTCAGCGATAAACAAGAACAATATTAAGCATTTAAATGAGAACAAAAACTATTGATCAGAAAAATGTTACCGCGTCGGTTTTAGTGGCGCGGCTCTGCAGACCTCAGGTGTTCCTCAAACAGAGAGGATAAAATCTGCAGTTGGCTCCACACTAACTGCTTTGTCCTTCAGACGGTCTGACAGAACCAGGATGTTTTGTAATCTACCAGTAAATCAGAGATGAATTTATGCCTGAAGTCATTTGGTGCTTTTTAAATGAACAATAGGATTTTAAAACGTCCCCTTTGACACTCAGGGAGCCGGCGCAGTAATTAGAGAGGTGGAGGAATGTGCTCCACCTTCCTGGTGTTGGTGAAGACTCTGACAGAAACACTGCAGCTGTCTGAGGGAATATTTCATTTTAATTGAGACCGATGAGGACGCCTTCAATTTATCCAGTCTGCAGCGAAGAAACGGGACAAAAAATGTGATTCTGTTTCTGGTTTGAGGCGTCAGAAGAAAATGACCAACATTCTGGTTGAAACTCAGACCAGAACTTTAGATAAACCGATTCAAGGTGAACTTTGACTGTTAACCTTTCAGTTTAGTGGTTTGTGGTAAATATTTCAAGTAGCAAACAAAAAAAACCTGCTAAATATGTGAAACGATGAGCTGGTGAGAACTGGTACTGCTTTAATCGTTTAACTTTTTCTTTTATTGTTAGAGCACGCAGAGTCTCACGGTTTGGAACATTCTTCCATCTTTTTATCATTTTGTTGCATTCTTACAAAGTTAAATGTCCTCAAATTAAAAAAAGTCTTAAAACTGTGTCTAACAGAACTCTTAAGGGTTGGTTCTGTTTCTTGGAGGAAAATTAAGCAACATTTTTTTTTTATACACAATGATTATTTTTAACAAATACATATAAAACATTTTGTATTTACAGAATAAACAGTATTTTACAAGTATTGTATTGGACTACAAAGATCTGAGCGATATTTCAGATTACTTTAAATCAGTTGTGTAACAATACATAATACAGCCCTTTATGTACAGGTATGGCACTTATAGGGTACATACAACCTCTGTGTACCCAGTAAGTAAAAGATAGTTACACTGTACTGTTCCGGGTACATACCTGGTGCTTTCCTGGTACATATTAGGCTGTACATATTGGTACATATCACTTACATACCTGGTACGTACCAGGCAAGTACACAACACATACCAGGTGGTATGCGATGTTACATAACCTCTAAATACCTATTGCGTACCCAGTATGCACCTGGCAAGTAGCAAGTAAGTACCTGGTTAGTAGTAGGTCTCTTTGCACATACTAGGTAGGTACTTTGTACATACCACACAAGTATATGATTATGTGCAAGGCATGTTCTGGGTATGTACTAGTAAGTAGCAGGTACAGAACCTTTACAGGCCCATAAGTAGCAGGAAAGTATGCATATGTATCTGGTAAGTACCAGGCAGGTACCTAGTACGTACCAGGAAGGTACCAGGAGAGTACCAGATTTGTACCAAGTATGTAACTGGTACCTACCATTGGGTATCTTCCCAAGTATTAGATACGTACCCGGCTGTACTGTGTATTGTCACCGAGGTTTACTGTCAATATTTATTATCTTCATCCAGGTACCAGTAAATACAGTATATTAAAAAAAACTATTGTGAATATTGATACTTCAGGCAAAATGCAGTTCTTCAGTTTGTCTTAGTGTGTACATTGTGTGTAGTGTGTGTGTGTTACCTATAGTGCTGCCTCTCACTGGTCAGTGTAAAACGGTCGTACTGGGAGTATGCAGCGGTTCCCTCCCAGTCCCTCAGCTCCACTCTCAGAGAGTACTGGCCCTGACTGGTCAGCAGGTATAAGACTTCATTACCCAACCAGTGCTCCCCCTGCACGTCCCCAAAACCCTGAGAGAAGAAAAAAGCACAGTTTGAGTTGTGATGAAGACCAGATCTGACCGAACCTTTGGTTTTAAACTTCACTGTAACTAATTGCTCTGATTCTGAGGCGCGCTGACCATCTTGTACTCCTTCCAGCTCCTCTGGAAATCCACACTGCCGTTGAAGCGTCGCTGGAAGACCGTCCAGCCCCCGCCGCTCGTCTCCATGTCACAGTACACCTTCAGGAGGACAAACACAAATCACTGTCGTCAACGTGGGAGACCATGTTCAAGTTCATTTATTGTCATTCGCATCACATGTGACACATGAGGTGGAGCAACATTTTGTGCTCAGGGTCCCAGTTAGCAAAAATATAAAGTATAAAAAGAAACAGTAAACAAGGATGCTAAGATAAAAGCTAAATGATACGTTAAAAGATCTAAGATATACACTAAACACTAATAATGTAAAATATTAAGGTATATTAAACAGCAGCTCGAACATGAGTCTGTTGTGAGTAGATGGGTATGAAAGAATTCAGCAGCATGAGATCAGCAGCATGAGATCAGCAGCATGGATAATCAGCAGCATGAGATCAGCAGCATGGATAATCAGCTGCTGTTGACTGCTTTGTTAAGTTTAAACACCATAAAAACCACCATAACTAAATGAGCTATAATACTTTTGTGTAATAATTGAAACTGTTCATAAGATTCAAGTGACTAGTGGAATTGAAATGTCCTACACATAAAAATTAAAGTTTTTGTTTGAACTTTTTGCTAAATTTAAGCTTTTAGTTACAGTTTTGACATCCATCCATCCATTATTTACCCGCTTCTTCCTTTTCAAGTCACAAGGGTCACTGGTCACTGGTCACTGGTGCCCATATCCAGCAGTCACTGTGCGATTGGTGGGGGACACTCTGGACAGGTCTCCAGTCCATCACAGGGACACAGAGAGACAAACAACCATTCACTCTCATTCACACCTGGAGACAATTTAGAGTTACCAATCAACCCAACATGCATGTTTTTGGTCTGTGGGAGGAAACCAGAGTCAGTTTTGATATGTTTAGTGTAAAACTACAGTTAGCTTTGAGCTCCTGATTTACCACTTTTAGTTTTTACATACCGTTTTGCGTCTTAGTTAAAATGGAGCTACTCTTTGCCCTTTCGTTATTGTTTAGCCAAGTTTAAATTTTAGACACAGTTTTGCTCACTTTAGCTTTAAACAGTGATGCTGCTGATTTCTTACCCATAAGCTGCTCTACTCATACTAATCAGACTCATGTTCAGGCTGCTGTTTAATACACCGTATTAATTACATTATTATTTTTAGCACATATCTTAGCTCCTGTATACTGTTCTTATTTTATACTTTATATTTTTGCTTTTCTTTGGTGTAACTGGGACCTTGGGTACATAATTTTGTTCCACCTCATGTACCACATGTGACACAATAAAGAACCTTGATTTTGCTGATTTGAGTTTGTGGCTCCTTTTTTCAGAGTTTTGCGTGTAGCTGCTGTTTAGCTGATTTCAAACTTCAACTACTGTTTTAATCTAAAACTTTATGGACAGTTTCTCTGGTTTCAGCTGTTAGCTACAGTTTTTTTAAACTTCTGTTCTGCTTGACTTAACTTTAACCACTCAGGTATTCATTTTTCAACATATTAAGACATATTCAACATATAATCCTTGGCTTCAGCCCATTTCTTTGTTAGGAAATGATTGATTTACCATTTTGTATGGTTTTCATTTTTTGTAATGTTTTTAAATTTACCAAAATAAAGTTGAGTTGATGTAAAGTCAATCTGTGCTGAGTTTCATTGCATTTTTGCATCAAAGACTATTAATCCAGGTCAATGTATTTTTTTTATTGCATCACATTTTATTGTGAAGAATTTTGTGGTTTTAATTTGAAAATGGGGCTTTAAAAATAAACTTTACTTACTAAAACAATAACTGAAAAGTATTAAAAAACACAAAAATGTGCCTTTTTTCCTCTTTTCTCCACCGAGTCATTAGTGTTTACTTGCGCGCTGATTACAGACAGTAGTTTCCACATACTTTTAAAATAATGTAAACACTAAGAGCGTTATCAGGTCCTGGATGAAGACTCACGTTTAGCTGTAATTTGTGGTCAGAGGTTACCTGCACAGGTTCAGTCCTGTTCTCGATGTAGACGTGATAAACGCCGCTGACAGAGTGACCGTCTTTGTAAGCATCTGCACAGTCCTTCCACATCTGGCTCCGAGGAGGTGACCCTGTCAGCAAGCACGTGATGAAATACAACGCAGCAAGAGATACTGAGCTTTAACTGAAGGGAGTGGGTGTACCTGTAGTGGTGGCCACCATGTTGATGAGTGTGTGGACAGACTCCATGAGCTGAGCCTGCTGCTTCTGCAGAGCCGTGTTGTTGCTGGTGGCGACTTTCAGCTGCCGCTCTAAAGACTCGATCGCCACCATCTGAGTCCTGACCACCGACTGCGAGAGAAAACATTCGCTCGTGTTTCTTCCCTGTGGACTGAGACGTCTGCATGTGCAGCTTGTGCACACCTTACGCGGAAGTAGAGATTGAGTCGTAATTAAGCAAATAACATTTTATATTTATATTTTTGCATGGATAAAGTTTTTTTTATTATTCTTAGAATCACTAGATTATACATTTAGCCAGTATTTTGTCAATCTTCATCCGTCTACATGGAAAGTTTGAGTTTACAGACATAAAATGACCTTCAAGGCTCAAAAACTTGACTGATGCATGATCTAATGAACATGAAACCTGCCCCTGTCAGTCCTGACAAGATTAATTTTATTATAAACTCAGACGCCTATCCAAACAGTCTCCTGCCGGTGATGTTTCTGCACGTTAATAACACCCAGATGTCCAGTAACTGTACCTGCAGTCTGTTCTTCTCCACTCTCATGTCCTCCAGCTCTCCTCTCTGCTGAGACTCCAACATCTGAACTTTGCTCTCCAAATGGCTGAAAGAAAAGAACGTCCATTACTCATTTAACACGGGTCACATGACTTCAGACTGACAAATGTTCTTCTAGAAGTCTCAGAAAATTCATCTCATACTGCTTTGAGTTTGCCGTTTTGATAAAATAGTCACATCGACGATCACAAATATGCCTTTATTTTTAATTCCCTTTAGGATGTCATTTATAATCAAGAGTTTGATCCCATACAGGCATTCAGTCAAGATTTAAATCGTATTACAAAATGCACAAATGGTTCTGGTTCAATTCAATTCAATGTATTTGTATAGCGCCAAATCACAACAGATGTCGTCTCGGTGCAGTACAACAGCTTTCACATTATAAAAGTTATCTAAGGAAGCAGCAGAATCTTACAGAAACGTTGGGAATGAAGAAGTTTTCAGAGCCTGGTTTAAATATTTATCTGGTAGCTTTCAGTTTGTTTAATAAATATTGATCGCACACAAGAGTTAATCAATGATGCTTACCTGGTTAATACCCAGGTATATACCCATTATGGTCCAGATAGGTAGCAGGTATGTTCCCAGTATGTACCACATGTTGCGTTATGTATTGCTATCCACATATTTATTTTTATCAGATTTTCCACAACTGTTTTGTTTTTCCAAGTCACGTTTTTAAATGAGAACTTGTTCCCAAACATTTCACCTGATAAAATAAAAAGGTCAAATAAATATTTTTTGAAACATAATCCACGTTAAATTGTTTCTTTAAAACGACCCTTTACTGCAGCCAATGGAGCTGGATAAAAAGCTCGTAATCCCATGAAACCCTGATCAGATACCGTAATGTGCTCCACAAGAGCCAAACTCACAATAGAAGTGAAACGAACAGTTCCATCAGGAAATCATGTTTGGGAGGCACATGAGAGAAAAAACACCAGATTCTTTGTGAAGAGCCCAGAACATTTGGAGATTAAAGGAGTTCCCTGTTGAAGTACTGCACGAGATTTATTGCAACATTTATCAACCATCTGCCAAAAAAGATGGGAGTGAAAGTTTGCCTTCTCCTACAACCAAGTTCTGTCCACTGCAGTCGCATTACCTGCTATTTAACAGCTCAAGCCTCAGAAAATATTATGAAGTAAATCTTATTTCAAGGGCAGTTCTTTCATAATAATAATAAAAGAAAATGTCCATTTTTAAACAACGCAAAGTGAACAGTTTGTTTAAATCAATAAAAACGTTCACAAATGTAATCAAACGTCTAATATCTACAATATTGTTGTCAGTGGTGGGATGTAACTAAGTACAAGTACTTTGTTACTGTAGTTAAGTACATCTTTCATGTATCTGTACTTTACTTAAGTAGAGTTAAACGTGGGTACTTTCGACTTTTACACTACATTTTACATTAAGTATATGTACTTTTTACTACACTACATTTCTATAATGCGTTGCAAGTTACCATCACGTTGCGGTTTTTTGATTTGTTCGTTAGTTTGAAAGTAAACAATGGTGAGAGGGGAGTTGGTCCATTGAATCACTGCAAAGTGCAGGTAACGTTAGACCCACCTTCAAGAAGAGCTGGGCCACTTATGTATATTCTAGTATACTGTATAAAAGTCAAGTCACATTTATTTATATGGCACATTTAAAACAGTAACTGTTGTCAAAGTGCTTACCAAAATAAGATCATAGCATCAAATATTAATAACAAGATATTACAGCAACATAAAAACCAATGCAGACATGTTCCTGTTCTCAATTTTCTACATTGCCTTGTAACCTAGCTGTTTTTTTTCCGCTACGTTTCTTTCTCCTTTTAATTATCACACTGTTTTAAATTGTTAAAAAAATAATAATAATCATTTGTGAATGTCTATTGTTGTCGTTATGCACAGTTGTCATCACTCTTTGTTAAAATCAGGTCTCTCTTGTAAATGAGTCCTCGTGGCTCAATGGGACTAACCAGTTTAAATAAAGGTTGAATGAATGAATGAATTAAAACATACATCATTGAGCTGGGCGCACCCGCAGCGCCGCTAACACGCGCCACCCAAGGCCTTATTAAAAGACTATTAAAAGACTATTGAAAGACTATTGAAAGACTATTGAAAGACTGTTCAGTACAGCAGGACACGTTCTCTCTCCCAGAAGAGTCGGACTGGACTCAAAAAACTTTGAAAACCAACTTCTTCTGAACTTGAACAAGAAATTCTTGCTGCAGTATTAAAATGTGTCAGTTCTTGATGTTAGGACAGGAGACAAAATGTCTCCAGATGTCTCGACACTCGGGTCCAAGTTTTGAAAATGGTGTCAGGAAGTTAAAATATTGTTCAATATTGACCCATTACAAGGTTTAAACAGTATTTTTACTAGAGTTGATGACAAACTGGAGTTGAAATGACCAGAGCCTGTTCCTTTGTTCGGTCTAACGCTCCTTTTGTTCAGGCAGACAACTTTTACTTAAATGTGTTTACCGCAGTTAAAATGACGTTGATTTTGTTTTGTGTTAAATAAAAACTTTCAAACGTAGAATCGTTCCTCTCTTATTTTGATCAATGGCATTTAACTCTGCATGTCCTCCATGAGGTTCTGACGCACAGAATCACAAGTCCAAGTGTGAACTGTGTCACAGAGTAAACACAATAAAAACATGTATTATCTGCAGCATTGTTCCTTAAAATGACACAACACTATTAACGTATTACAGAAAATATACATAAGGTAAGCAGACTTAAAGATATGTAGACTATTGCATTATGTAATACATTCAGGAAGTACTTTTACTTTTAATACTTTAAGTATTTTTAAAAGCAACTACTTACTTACTTTTACTTCAGTAAAAACATTAATATGGTACTCCTACTTTTACTAGAGAACATTTTTGTCTGTTTATTTGTACTGTTATTTAAGTACGGCGTCTAAGTACTTTCTCCACCACAGATTGTTGTACACTTTAATTAAAAAAAAACAACAACAAAAAACACTAAAGTTTAAAACGTAACGTCGACATACGGTTGTATCTCATGTAAAAATGAGGCCATCATCGTAAAAGTTGTGGGTAGGGAGGACACAAAACCCAAACGGTTTGTAACGAGCCAGAGGCTGGAACTCCTGAATTACTCCCCTCCATTAGAAAGGCTGTAACAGTGAAATAAAGATTAATAACTCGAGCATTACTCTTCCTGCCAGATCAGGACGCAGCTGTCGTTATCTGTGCAGCTGAACCAGCAGTCCAGCTGTTGAAAATAGACTCCAGGCCACAGTTAGATCAACAACGTTCAGGCCAAACGAATGAAAGCTGATGAAGGAGTGGCAGCGGCCTCAGAGGAGAACGTGGGACAAACTGCAACGAGGCCGAGTGTCCACTTTACAACTCTGCACACAATAGAGGGGGTGATGATCTGAACGTGGAAATGGATTTTCTTCACTATAAATTACAACCTGTGAGTTTCACATGAGTTTTGTTGCAACAGCTTTTTAAATGCACAAGTTCTTTTTGTGGAAAGGATCAGAAGCGTGCACCTTTAAATTAGCATCGTTATTCAAATGAGATTCAGACCGTCCACCAACAGTCTTTAAAAAACTCAAAGTGTCTTTGGTAAGTCCTTTTCACCAAAGCACTTTGAGTTTGTGCCTTATTTAAAACCAAAAAACATAAAAAACAACTAGCACTGCTGTAGCATCTAGTCTTTAGGCTCGCTCACAACCTGCTGTAAGTGCTCCGTTGAGCATTTATGGCCACGCCGTGGATGAGGCGTGCACATCACTTGCAGAGTGGAGGCCTTTGATCCTGCTCGTGCAAATTAAGAAAGCACGCGGCACATTTGGAACCAGTGCTTTTTATATACCCAATCCAAGTCAGGCCCGTGGGAGCTTTGTGATGGAAGTAAGACACATGAGTGATGTCATTTTACGATTCGCGTGCCTCAGCACTGCTATTTGTGTGGTCCATAAGTCAGAAACATATCGGACTTTTTACTGGCAGGCAGCGCATGGACCTGTGTGCAACATGAGGCAACTCTCCCTGTAGGTAGGAACTGATCTGTGGCATGCAGTGTTGTAAGAAAGGAAGAAAATGGCTGTTGCCTTTCTGCCACAATGACTGATGGTGTTGGACCTCGCTAGGCCGATGATAGAAGTTGTGGAGCGCCACAAATCAATGTTGGTTTGGCTTTTACAGGAAAACCAATACCACTCACTGAGGACCTCCTTTTATACTGACTGCAAGTCAGGAGTGATCGTCACATGCTAACCACTTGTGCTACGAGTACAGCCTAAACTCCTTTCACACGAGAAGCCGCTCATACTCCACAGGTACTGGTCACGTGCATCGCACATGCGTTTTCCAAGACTAACAACACGATTCTTTCCACACCTTGAACAAGTCAGGCAAACCTGTACTTGACAAGTACTTTTTATTATTTCTTAAACTTTCATGTTATTGATCATCAGGACCACGCGGCCCAGCTGTTAGCCATCAGTCTCTGGACCTGTGCACGTTAAAAACATGTACTGTGGGTTAAGAGAGTTGATTTTACTCAAACAAATGGTTTCCACCAGGATCTGGCGGTGGAGCTATGGAGACCAAACCAGACCAACTAAAACTATGTGATCTGTGTCAATGTCCTCTGTCACTGAGGAGTTTGAATAGAGAATGTTTGTAGTTTTCAAGATGAGTGTTTTTCTGGACTAGAACTGAACAGGGAATGCAAGTAAACCGTAATGGTTTTGGTGGAAGTGGGTAGGAGTTACACTGTTTATAAGAACAGAGGTAGATTTAACTTGTCCGAAGCGACGCAGAGTGACGGATCCTGGCGAGTGGAGGGAGCGGTTTCATCCATGACCTGGTGCAATGGCGGAGACAGAGGGTGGTCAATGGTGGCCGCCATTATAGATTAAGCTTTGGCCATCCTAAAGGCCACTGCAATCATTTGAGGAAACTATATTTTAAGCAATCAAAAACGAGAATGCATAGTTTAATCAAATACAGAGTGTATCTAGTCTACCTAAATTTAAGAGAAAAACTTTGTTTTA